GGATATAAAGAACGTCGAAAATGGAGCTCGTATACGAAAGTTATGAATTTTTGAAGTTCGAGGCACGCATAGCAAAGCTTATCCGAACTACGCCCCGCGTAGATCTTCGTACGCCCAGCGTACTGCTTGTAGAGGCATTACGCCCAGCGTAATCAGGATTTACGCCCAGCGTAAATCGGGGTTTCAGCCCCTATAAATAGAACTCAAGGGTTGCCGAGTTTTGTTGCTCATTTCTCCTCTCTCACTTCTTATTGCCTCGTTTTGCGTGCAACTTATACCCCGAAGCCCCGGTATCATTCCCGAGACCCGAAGCAAGCCCCGAAGCCATGAGGATCCCGAGAAGTAAAGTTTCCAAGCCAAAACTCTGCCCGCGTAAAGCCTGGTTTTGGAGAAAACATCCCGGTTTCATCGAAGATTATTGTTTTAATAGACGAGGTGTTGTCCGATCATCGTGTTATCAAGTGAGTGTATATTCGTTTTCTTCTAACACATAAATATGAAGTATTCTTTATAAAATATGTGCTATGTGTCTATATATTATTTGTTTATTTGAACTAGTTGTTGAATGGATGTTTTGTACAGGTTTTAAGTTGTATATGAATGTATATATTTTATCTACTAATATGTTGGGTAGAACATGGGTAGACAGTTGGTGTGTGATGAAATAAAATGATGAGAGGTCTCGATGTTGTTGTTGATCTAGTCATCTAGCGGAGTATGGATGACGACCACGGACTCCTTCTAGACAGTCCAGTGGAACGCTAGCAGGCTCATAACCTGTAGGTGTTGTGAACGATGTGTTCACCGGTGTACTCTATCCCCCTCATGGTTGCCTTTAGGACATCTATTGTTAAGGAAACCCCTTTGCACTAATGTCCGTCCCGATGAAAATCCTAGATTAGGTCCCTTGTAATAGTTGTTGTTTTAGGGACATAAAGTGAGGATAACGGGAATGGGTAATCGGGTTTATTGTTGGTCGATGAACTAAATATAATTATTTATTGTGGGTTGAAAACCCTATATGCTCACCAGGCTCCCAGGCCTGACCCACTCAGTTTTTATTTGCATTACAGGTAGTGGCGCGAGAGCATAAGTTGGATGACATTGTCAAGATATTTTTGGATTATAGACCAGTAGTTATATGTAACTGTTGTAGGGTCTATTTTGTGTTGTTTATGCTTTTGGTCTGTATCGGAACATGACATCCCGAGATTTTGTTATATAATGAAAAATACATTTCTTTATGAAATGCTTTGATAAATTCTTATCATACTTTGTTTTGGGAACAAATTCCGCAACTTTTTTTAATCAAATGATTACTCTGATTTTATTTAAAAGCATAAATGAAACCGGTCTTTTCTGGCCATGATTTTGGGGATGTCACATGGCAAAATGGTATTCTTGGAGTTTGAGTAGTACGCAGGGCGTACATGTGAGTATGCTGGGCATACGAGTGCCAGAGTGAAACCCTAACCTTTAGGGTTTGGAGGGTATTTAAGGACCATTATGGATCTTTTTGCTTCGTTCTTTCAGCCTCCAAGTTTTTGAACTGGTCTTAGCAAACCCTAGCCCATGAGAGAGAGGGAGAGAGAGAGAGTTTTAGAGCCTAAAGTGTGATGTTGGTTTGGTTGAAGAAGGAGTTATTACATCAAAGGAGTCAAGGAAGGGATCAATTTTGTAGATCTGGAGTTATCACTATCTTTGGAAGCTTTAGAAGGTATAAAGCTTCTACCTTTATGCTTGGATTGTGTAGATCTAGTTTTAGCTACTTTTTGTCATTCTTCTTGTCCCAAGAGTCCCAATAGTTTGCATGTTCTGTTTTGGTCGAGTTAAGTTGTCCTTTCAGACCCTAAGATGGGTCCTAAGGCATAAAAATGAAGTCCCTTGAGCTAGTTTGGTCCCTTGTTCCTTGTAGGAGGTCTTAATGGATTAAGACCTTGTATTTAGCCCTTTCTAGTCGACCAAAGTCTTAAAGTTTGAGACTTTATGGTTCCAGAGCACATTTGAGTAGTGGATTTGAAATTTTGGCTGAAGTGCTTAAGCCATTAAGCACTTATCATGATTTTGGCCTCTGCAAGAGTACACCCCGCGTATGTTGTTGTACTCCCCAATCCGGAGTCAAAACCCCTGTAACGGGTCAATGCGAGGCGAGGTACGCCCAACGTACCGAAGGGGTAAGCCCCGCGTACGTCCTCTGTTGGGCTTCGGACTTTGGGCTTCGCGTATTGGGCCATCTGTTGGGCTTTGATACTTGGGCCTTAATGGGTTATATGGATGGGTGTGTCTTGGACTAAGTAGAGGATCGAGCCTTTCGATAAGGCCTAATTAGGAGTTGGGCCCAATTAGGAAAATTGGGCCATGTGTAGGCTTGAGGTGGTTTGGGCCTTTGGATCAAGATTTATGGTTTGGGCTTTTAGATTGGCTGGATTTTCTTGAGTGAAGGCCATTAGGACTAATTTGGAAAATTGGGCCATAATTGGACTTAAGGAAATTATTTTGATATTGGACCTTTGTAATTTAGTTTGGGCCTTGGTTCTGGGCCAAGCTTGAGAAGGGTAAAAAGCTCTTTTACCCTGTATTGGATTCATAGCATGAGTCAGTGGTTAGATATTGATGCATTTTCATTTCGAAACCTGTCAGAGAGTATTCAGGGAATCAGCTTTTTTAGGATGTAGTCTTGATGATGGTGGTTCAGGATCTGGCAGTCAGCTGTCAGGGATCGTCTGCGTGTTCGACAGTGCGAGGTGAGTTCTTCTCACTATATCAACAGGGTCTACAGCACCAAGGCCGGCCCTTTATGGTTGTATCCTGGTTATAGGATTATGCTATGTTAGTGATCTGTTAGATCTGTATCCTGGTTATAGGATGATGCTATATTAGTGATCTGTTAGATCGGTATCCTGGTATATAGGATGATGCTATGATTAGTGATCTGTTAGATCTGTATGACTATCTGTGCATGCTAGCTAGCGTCTGATATTTATGTGTTGATTGTTGGATTGTGGGTTGGGTTGAGGCGGACAAGCTTTGTGCTCTAGGCCAACATACCTATGGCGGCCCGGATAGACTTCAAATCCTTACCTTAAAACAAGATTATAACGTGGTACATACAAAAGTTGTGAATTTGAACAAATCTCACAACAAGGAATCAAGGCAATAAGGGTGACATCCGTCATCACTAAAGCCCTTAAAAATCATCCCTAAAGCCTTTAGCGACAACACGTCGTCACTAATATGTCGTCCCTATTGCCTCGTAGCTATTGCTCAAAAATCGTCACTAATGTCAACGTCGCCTCTATTGGTGTTGCCCCTATTAGTGTTGCCCCTATTAGTGTTGCCCCTATTTATCATTAAATTTTTAATAAAAAATTATTGACTACAGGATTACTCTATGACCAACTTGTTCGTCTTTCATGGAGTTCGTCATTTTTCTACATCTATTCCTTAAAAAGGTTTGTCATTTACATCCGTTTTTATATAAAAAAAATCCACAAAAATTATTTACTTTAACATTACAAAAAAAAAGTCTATTACTTTAACTCTCTAACAGTCTCTTTCTCTATAACTTTCTATCTCTCAATTTCATAAATGTAAACCCAGTGAAGGCGGTGCTTCAAGGTGGCTAATATCGGTTGACGGCGGAGATGTTGTTTGATGATGGTTGATAGAGGAGAATGGTGGAAGATGGGTGCAGTTGTGGGTTTTCTGTTGGTGTTTGATGGTGGAAAATAGTGGCAGATGATAAGGTGTTGCAAGAATAAGGTGGTTCTAGTGGTGGTGGATGGTGGCCAAGGTTTGTGGAGGTGTAGATGATAAGGTGTTGCAAGAATAAGGTGGTTCTAGTGGTGGTGGATGGTGGCCAAGGTTTGTGGAGGTGGCGGTTGTAGTTTAGTTTTGAGAGAGAGAGAGAGAGAGAGAGAGAGAGAGAGAGAGAGAGAGAGAGAGAGAGAGAGAGAGTACTGTGGTAAGTGGTATCCAAGGTTGGCTTATAGATCACGAGAATATAAGGTGGACCATTGGATTGACTACAAGATGGAGGGTCTGAATTACACAAGAAGAGAGAACACGGATCGTGAGCAATAGTGGCGACACTATTAGTGACGACATTTGCAAAGCATTAGCGGCGATATAAAAAATATGGGGGGAAAATACCGCGGATTTTATTCGTAGGCATTAAGGACGACAGCAATAGGGGCGACAAGAGGCATTAGTAACGACATTCCTTGGTGTCGCCACTAATGCATGTGGCGTCCCTATTGGTGTCGTCACTAATGCCCAGATTTCTTGTAGTGTCTTGAAACCGCATAAATTGCTACTAAAGCGCATAAACCGTCTGCACCGCACCGTAAACACCTCTACTTTACACATGTAATATATCGGTTCTGACATAATGTAAGGTTCTCGATCATTTGAGCAAAAGTCATATATTTTTAACCCATTTACTTGTATGTTTGAGCGTATTATTAATTAAACGTATATATTCATTCCGTTATTAAATTAAAAACGTTTCCTGAAAACCGGAGAAAAAAGGTGGTTATCCAAAGCACACGAAGATGGACGTACAAAAGCTCCACGCATAGCATTTTTTTTTTTTTTTGGACGGCAACACATATCATTATTTGACTTCCAGAGAGTGCGTCGGACCCATATAAATAGAGAAACCCTTTACTAAATAATTACAGGTACCATATATAGTGGAAGATCCAAATTAATGGTGGAGATCATATATATTACAAAGACGAATAGATAAATGCCACATGGTTGCTAAAATACTATACTAATTAAAATCCTTTTTTTTGGAGATTATATATTTGATACAAAGGTGTGCAGATAAAATCCCACATGGTGGCTCAAATCCTATTCAAATATCCTCTCTTTTTTCTTAAAATACAAAAAAGTGCGACCCTATTCTAATCACCCCTCTATATATATCTAAGCGTTGGTCTTTCATTGAATTCTCATCTAAACAAACCTTTATCATTATTCACAAACAACTTAACATGTCAAGACTGTCTACTGAGCTCTTTGAGAATGAAATGAAGCATTTTATTTCAAGAAAACTTCTACTTGACACGTACTCATACCAACAACCAGCGGCTGCTGTGACAGCTCCATCACGGTCAAGCCCATATACAGAACATAGCAACTTTGATGCGAATGTGGTGATGGTGCTGTCGGTGCTCATATGCGCTCTGATTTGCTCACTAGCGTTGAACTCCATCATCAGGTGTGTATTAAGATGCACGGGATTATCTAGTTCAGAAAGTAGCGGTAGCCAGGAAACAACTTTGGTTAATGCCAACACTGGAATCAAGAATAAAGCATTAAAGAGTTTCCCAACAGTCAGCTATTGGGAAGGACTGAAGCTACCGGGATTTGACAAAGAATGTGTTATATGCTTGGGTGATTTTTCAACAGGAGAGCGAGTAAAAATCCTGCCCAAGTGCAACCATGGATTTCATGTGCGTTGCATCGATCGATAAATGGCTGAGTTCACATTCATCTTGTCCAACTTGCAGGAACTCCTTACTTGAAACATGTCAAAAGTTTGTCACAGGTGGGAAATGTAGCAGCAGTATGTCTTGGCAACCGCAACAGCAAGATCCAAGATATACAACTATTTTAACCATATTGCCTTTGTCGCATGAAGGTCTTGTACGGAATTATGAGACATAACTAGCTAGTTCCATCACAAAATGAACAAATCAAATGTAATTACTGTAATACTCATACGTAGATAGGTAGGAATTTTCCATTGAGTAATTTTAATTATTATTGACACCAAAAGTACTTTCCCAACAATAAGTTACATGCATTGCAATTGTTTTACAAGTCTTTTTTTCTAAAGTATATATCACCAAATTAAATTCGTTAAAACTTTGCTGTAATGTATATTCTTTTATACTTTTAAGTTTGTTAATACTTGTATATACATAAAAGGGTACTTTTAATAAATAATATAATCTGAATATCGTAATTCATTCTTTATACATAATACAAAAATTTGGGTGATGGCGTGATGTCTATTTAGAGGTGCACAAACTGGAGTGGGTTTTGTAAAACAAAAAATTAACCTAATGTTTCTTCATATTACAAGTTGTCATATAACCGGTTAGGATTTTACCCAATCGCCGGTTAGGAATCACTTACCAGAATAATCGCGGAACAAAATTTTTGCCCGGTTTTAAGCTATTCACAAAAAGCTGGATTTTGTTTCGGAAAAAGAAAAAACGTTTTTCCGGGTCAAACCATTCAGCTTGACTTTATTATGTAAAAAGGTCATAGGATTGTTAATGTAGCCGTTCGGAGTGCCAAAATCACCATTTTGCCCCTCTAATGTTACTATAAGTAGGTATTGGTTCAATTGGTTACAATACAATGCAAACAACGCCGTTGTCAGATAGTTAGTTTTTATATTCGCGTATAGTAATAACAGATAAGGATGTTTACCTTGATTCAAAGGAAAGTGAACTAATTCTTGTAATCTTCTCTAGATTCTCACCACTTTGGTTCAATTAGTTGATAAGAACACTCCAAAATCGTTTCTTCTATGCTAAAGAGCTTCTAGAAGGTGTTATAAGTGTTACTAAGAAGCTAGGAAATGCCATACCACCTTTATACATACTAAATAACCCGTGTTTTGGTCAAAATTACACAAAAATAGTAACCTACTTCATTAAAAGTCATTTTCACATATGGTTTTTGTAAACGTGTATAAAATTTGTATTATAAGTGAACCGAGTTTATATGATATTTTAAGGTTTTTTTTTTCTAAATTTACCATTTTGTAAACGAATAAACCCAAAAAATTAAAAAATAAAGAGCACCATAATATACATTATGTACGGTTATTATACGAATGACATGTCAGTGTTACATTTTTTTTAATTTCTTAAAAAGATATGGCGACTAAACTATGACGACAATATCTTGTTTCTAAAAAGGAACCTATGATGACGATAAAGCTGTCTATAAAGACGAGGTTGTGGCGATAAAGGTTATGCGACAACATGTCGTCGCAGACACCTACATAGACTTACACCTATAGAGACAAAAGTTGTCGTCACCACATATCCTTTTTCGTGTAGTGTTCCGAGTATGATGTGTAAGCGGGTCAGCCCGGTGAGACAATGGTGCTCCAATGGGTATTGTAGATCGTCTAGTGGCTTTTACATAGTAGTCTGCTAAAGATTTTTAATATGAACAAAAATGTTGCCCTTAATTAAGTTGAAGGATGATGTGCGAGTCAAGGATCGATAGAAGCAAAATGAAACGGATTGAAATCAGTTTATAGTTTATGAGATAGAATATTTCCCGGAGAATGGACCGATCATGAGATGCAAAACGTTAGAAGAGATTAATTCAAATTCAATAGAGATCAAATTGGAACAAATTGACCTTTTATTTATTTTCATTCATTGAATGATACACAAGCATACAATATCCATGGATATTAATCATAAAGGTAATTCTAAAATGTATACAAATATCGAAACTATATACCAAAAATTTCAAATGTTAATAATAAAATCCTTAGGGACATGTTAATGTTCACAAACCCATCTACATCCATCATGTAAAGCAAACTAAACAGGGAGCGAAATTTTGTTACTTTGATTTATTATATTCCTTTACAAGCATAACAAAAATTATAAAGAAATAAAACGATATAATCTCATGATGTAATGAGACAGTCAAAACCCGTCCTATCTGAGTAGCTCTAAAAGTTATTTACCATTTCACACATTTGTCATGTACAATGAACACACTACAATGAATACACACTGTACAATGAAGACGTTTATTCCATTTTAATGTCGCAATGCTTAAAAGTTCGGAGTCGCACATATTTGATTTTTTGAATAACAATCTATTCTAAACTACTCATTAATTTCACATATATCCACCAAATCCTCAACCTCAAAAAAGGAATGACAACATGTGATACCGCTGAACAAGAAGTCATTTGGTACATATAAAAATGGTCAAATGTCTAACCATTGCATTTTCAAAAGTAAAGATTGACTTCTTTATTTTGCGTCAAAATTTAAATTTCTTAGTGTTTTTCTTTTAGAAATTAAATATCTTCCTATTTATTCTTCTTATCCATCTTTTATTTATTCAATTTGGTTATCCATAAAATATAAACCAAATCAAGGAATAATCTGTTATCACAAAGCCACTATTTTAACTGAATAATGAATACAACTTGCATTAATTTTAGTAAAGATTTTATTTTAGTGATATAAATAATCATGAAAATCAGATACTCCGTACATAAATATAGTTGTGTCATGTTAATCTCATACTTTTTAGTTGAGCTTTTAAACAAAATTTCAAATATTTATATAAGAAAGGTTTTGATAAGCGAAATAAATGCAACCATTATCTATCTTTAATATAAAGATATAAAGATGTGGTTGTGGATCACCCTTCTTTTGTAGACATTGACGTTTATGTAGCATACTGAAAACATATAGTGAGGTTTACTTGTTGTGGGTGGGACAATATTGATGAAAATACTACAATAATACAGAGAATTGGTCAAACGTTGAGATATGTCTTTGATATAATTTTGTTAAAGTAAAAGTGTTTTATTATACGATATTTGTTTCCCAATATAACTACTCATCAACTGTTCTTCGATAGCGACTGACTCAACAAGACCCTGAAAATTATCTAGGTGAGCGTTTCAAAACTTGTAGTAGTGTAGTAGTAGTATGAAAGAAGAAAATATGAGGTCACAACTTTTTTTTCATGCGTCAAAATATCATTGAAATTAATGTGGCTTGAGTTGTGAGTAAAGTAAAATTAAGGGGAATAAATGGAGTACACCCCCGGTCTTAAGGGATTGAACATTCGCATTTATTTATTTTCAATTATTTACTTGATCAAATTTTTCAAAAAGAAAACACATTTCTAAAATATCTATTTCCATCCTCGTGTTCTAACATTATTATTGTACACATGATACATATTTTCATGTTATACGGTAGGCTTGTGATCTCACAATTGGACACTGACATCCTTGACCATTTGTATTGATCGGGTAAAAGGTTAAGGGAAAAATGCTTTTCACCACGTTTCCCACTATAGAAAATTTAAAACGATAAATTCGATTATCGAATCAATTGGTTCTTATATTTTGTTTATTGGTAAAGTATTTATGTTACAGTGATACATAGAAAAGGGGAAAATACAACACGAGATAAAATAACTGCTAAACAATACCAACCCAATAAAGTGGGATAACAAGTTCCCATAAGAAACTATAAAAGTATCTGTAATATAACAATAGAGATTGAGATTGAGATAAAGATTAGAAGAGTCAAGTGTCTTGATGTGTAAATCACCTTCCCACTTGCAAAAGCGTAAACACGTATTTGTAATATTTAATTAGTGTTAAAGATAGAAACAATAAACCAAATTGGGGTTATTATGGATTTTCACTAAAACTTCTTTTTATAGATAATAACATGTCTAATTTGATACTTAAACAATTAACGTATATTGAAACAAATGTCATATTTCCTTCAAGATGAAGAGTGTACGGAATTAAAGCTATTCCTTCAAAGACTTCGTAAAGGCTCCTGTGCTTTACTTTAATTTTTCTATCTAACTTGGTACAATTATTTATCTAGTGGGGGCTCAACCAATTTGGGGAGTCTAAGTGGCCAAAAATTTAGGGCTTTTGGCAGAACTATACTTAACTTTATAAATTAAACCCTCCTCTTTTATCTGGGCTTGGGACCAGCAATAATAAACTAAAAAGTTTATAAATGGCGGAGTTAAAAAAAATTATGTATATTTTTTTTTTATGAATATATTTAAGACATAAAATTAATTTGCCTTTTTGAAGCCCCTGATAGGTATTCTTTTTTTAACATGATTATTAATTAGAATAAATTACACAAATGGTCCCTATGGTATGAGGTAATTTGCACGTTTGGTCCCTAACTTATTTTTTTAACTCGGAAGGTTCATATTCTTTGTTTTTGTTACGCGTTTGGTCCATACTGTTTGTTTTTGTTACGCGTTTGGTCTCTATCTTATCTAAAAAGACTATTATTTAAATTGGGGAAAATGATGGGGTAGGTAAGGTAAGGTGAGAGGGTGGGGTTGGAGGTGTGTTTATTTAAATAAATTAAAAAATCAAGGGAAAAATAGTTTTTTTTTAGGTAAGACAGAGACCAAGCGCGTAACAAAAACAAACAGTAGGGACCTTCCAAGTTAAAAAAATAAGTTAGGGACCAAACACACAAATTACCCTAAACCATAGGGACCATTCGTATAATTTACTCTATTAATTATTTGATTAATAATAACAATGAACATCACCAAGACAACAATTGTAAGTATATAAGATATGGATTAAGAATTTAGAATTATACAACATCTATGATAATGGAAAACTCAAATCTGAAAAAATGAAAACAAATTCCTTCCGACCATTGTATATTTGTAATATGTTGTAAGCAATTAA